AAAAAAAAGAAGAAGAACAGTGACGTTTTGTTTTATTTGTGGTACCTTAATTAAGGACTCAAATCCCAGGGACCCAAGGCATAAGGCTAGCATTGGTTTGACCGAAGCTCTTCCGTTTCTTAAAAAATAGTATGAAACTAACACAGATACCCTTCAGGTGTTCTTCCAAGGGCAGTGTTAGTGCCTGAACTTCAAATAGGAAGACTCTCCACCCCAACCCAATTTGTTAAATGCTCTATAGTGGGGTCCTCAAACTACAGCCTGCGGGCCACATGCGGCCCACCGAGGACATTTATCTGGCCCACCGGGTGTTTTTGCCCCATTTGTTTTTTTACTTCAAAATAAGATATGTGCACTGTGCATAGGAATTTGTTCATAGTCTTTTTTAAAACTATAGTCTGGCCCTCTCACGGGTCTGAGGGACAGTGAACTGGCACCCTGTTTAAAACATTTGAAGACCCCTGCTCTATAGCAAGGGTTGGCGAACTGTAGCCCATTGACCACCTCCAACCCATTGGGTATTTTTATAGGTAAAATGTGTTTGGAGCATAATCGCCCTCATTTGTCCCTCTGTGGCTGTCATGGCAGCCCTACGACAGCATACATTGTGAGAAAGACTGTCTGACATTTTATAGAAAAATGTTCCCATCCTGCTCTTACGGCATGAGCGCCTGCCCTACTGCTCTTTCCCTCAGTCAGATCCAAGGCAAGGGCCTGGATTCAGGCCAGGAGGGACCCAGCCCCTGTGAACTGAATGAGTCAATCAATACCCCTGCTCTACAGCCCCACGCCCCCCACCCCCACCCCGAACCAGCCTGAGAACTCAGTTTGGCTCACCTGAAAGCCACCCTGTACAGCTAGGTAAAGTTCTGGGTCCTAGCCATTTTTCCATCAGTAATGGAATTCATTTACGTCCCAAAGCCCTGTGGGATAGTTATTTTACGAAGCAAAGAAACAGAGATGCAAGAACTTTCATGTGAAAATAAACGCTGGGTCCTTGGACTTCTGGTCGTCTCCCCAATTTCTTTCTATGCTCTTGGATTTCATCCTTCAAGTTGCTGCCAGCTTCTCCCAATCCCTCCCTCCAGGGATCCTTTGCTGAGACCCTGAAAGCTATCATGGCCCTTAACCTGATTCAAGGAGCATAGAGAAAAAGAGACTGGCGGCCCTTATGCGTTCTATGAGAAGGGAAAACGCTTAGGGGAGGAAAAGATCACAAAATCTGAACTCATACCCTGCCATACCCTGCCAAACAAGTATATCCACCGTAACCCAGAAGTTCAATATTCCAACCGAGTTCCAAGTTGTTCTGCGGACCCACGCCCCTGAGGGCAACGAGTGCTCAATCCCAGGCTCTCAGGTGGGGGGAGTCAGACTGGACATGGCCGTTCCCTGTCCCAAACTGGGCTCTGTCTTGTGATGGCCACTATGGTGAAATATCCACTATCCGCTTGTGTAAGAACAGTAAAGAACTATCACGCTGACAACAAGGAGGGCTTCTTGTGAGCACTGGGGTCTCAAAACCACTTCATCTTTCTCCAGCTCCGTTTTTTTATCTGAAAAATGGGGTGATAATGTTTTCCAGACAGGGTACCAAAACGAGACCATGGGTGGTGATCCTGCAAAGTGCTGTGCTGATGTGAGGAGTTATTATTTACATAATTGCAGAAACTGCTAGAGGTAGACAGCAGCCGCTCATCCTACCCTCCACGAGTACCGGAGGGAGGCCCAGGTGTCCAGGCCCAATGCTCAGGAGTCTTGGGTCAGCCCGACCAACCTTAATTGGAACTGCGGATGTTTGGAGATCTCACCCCCAGAGGTGACATCATGGACTCACGTGTGGATTTCTGAGCTCCTCCATCACGTAGTTGAGACTGTTCCAGCCATCGAAGGACCACAGGCCCTGGTAGAAGGCCAGGCCAAAGCGACCCGCCTGCTGCGTTGTGTTGTGGAAGGCGTGCAGAAGGACTTCCTTGTGGCCCAGGCCCTGAGCCAGCACGGCGGCCCCTCCCACCACGATGAGCAGCAGCGACAGCACTTTGGCCACAGTGCACACGTTCATGAGCATGGTGGCCAGCCGGGAGCTCCAGCAGTTGACTATCAGCAGCAGCAGGATACCGGTGACCGCCACTCCTTTCACCGCCACCTGGGGCAGGGAGGAGCAGCCCAGGTAGAAGGGGGCGACGGCATACTCCGCAAAGCTCAGCGAGAGGGCAGCAATGGCAGCTGGTCTGCCGACTAAGACAAATGTATAGATGACCAGGAAGGCTGGCAAGGAGCCAAAGGTCCGCAGGATGTAGGCATAATCCCCGCCGGATTCGGGAACTAAGGCACTCAACTCAGCGTAGCACAGGGCCCCCAGTGTGGCCAGGAAACCACAGGCTGCCCAAACCAAAAGGCTGGCTCCAGGGCTGCCCACGTAGACCAGCACCCGCTGTGGTGACATAAAGATGCCAGAGCCGATCATCGAGCCAGTGATCAGAGAGACAGCACTCCACAGGCCAATCTCCCTTCTTAGCCTCAGCCCCTGTGTCCCACCACCGGGCTCTTGCTCGGCCACCCCCTCACCGCCAACTCGTTCCTTACTTCTTCTCTCCATCTCAGGATAGTAGGAGATGCTGCCTCTAGCGGAACAGAGCCAGGGACTGTGCCACCTGGTAATCTCATGGCCTTTTTGTATCAGTTAATGATTAGAGCAGCACAGCGGAATCTCAGCCACGGACCAAAGGGCCAGGGCGCAGTGTGTAGAAGAGACTGTGCCTTCCCTGATCGGCTCAGCGCATGTCTGACTCAGAGCCCAGGACAGGTAACTTGCAGGAGAAGTTTGCAAATATAACCCGTGAAAGGTCAAGAAAAGAGGAGCTATATTAGAAATAAATCCTTGTTGCACAGGTTCATAGCCAAGATGTGTAGAGAACAGAGAAGGGCTCTGTAGTAGCAAAAGAAGAGCTGAGAAATTACAGATCGACATTGTTGTCAGCAGTTGTGCCAGCCAAAGCCACTGTTATTGTCCTCGTTAGGGGCTGTCCAGGTGGCTTTGACTCATAGTCACCCTGTACACAACAGAACAGAACACTACCCGATCTTCACAATTGTTAGGGCTGGACCCATTGTTGTAGCTTGTGGCAATCCATCCCATTGAGGGTCTTCCTGCTTCCACTAACCCTCCACCGAGCAGGAGAGCATTTTCCAGGAACAAGTCCTTCCTAATAACATGATAAAAGTGCATGAGATGAAGTCTCACCACCCTTCCTTTGCATTCCGGAGATCTTCTTCCAAGGCAGACTTGTTTGTTCTGCAGAAAGCCCAAGCTGTGCATCCACTATTTTCACCAGCACCATTGTTCAAACACATCGATTCTGCTCCATTCTTTCTCATTCACTGTCCAGCTTCCACAGATAGAAAATACTGTAGTTTGGCTCATGTACACCTTACCCACAGAATGACATCTTTGCTCTTTAATATTTTAACAAGCTACTGGGAAACAAGAATTGCAATGCAGGGGGCCTGAAATTAAGACGGCATGAGACCTATCCTGACGAAGAGCCAGGAAGATCAAACAAGAGGTTCCAGACACGTTGAGACAGAGCTTGCTTGCAGGTGGTTAAGAGTACAGTTCTGGAATGAGGTCATTTGGGTCCAAGTCCAAGCTTTGTTACCTCACAGTAGTGTTAATTTGGGCAGGATCTCTGAATCTCACCTTATTTATCTCTCATATAGTAAGATTTGCCCCACAGTGTTGCTCCAAATATTAAATAGGACGCCCGTGTGGTTTAGTTTTCTAGTGCTTTCAGAATAGAAATATTACAAGTGGGGAATTTGAAAGAACAGAACTCTGTCCATCCCTTCCTAGTGAGCATTCTCAGGTGTTCTTTCATGATCTTCATCTCTGTCTTCCCTTATGTGGGCCTCTGTCTGCTCTGTTCTTTTTTATAGCTTAGAGCTGATAAAATTTAGAATTCATTCTACATTGTTATGACTTCAACCGGCTGGTTGATTAGATTACTTTAGATTACAGCAGTGATCTGCTCTGCCCAAAGCAAGCTGATTAAAATCACATTATCAGATCATGACAGTATATGGCTAGGATTTCAATACATATTGCAGGGGGGGGGCGGGAGGGCGGGAGATAATTCAATCCACAATGCCAAGTAAAGTAGTTATAATAATTTATGACATATAGTAAGCTTTCCATGAATATTAGTCATTACTATCTGATTGAGAAGTGAGCTAGGGAACAAGGACTAGAATTCATTCCAGAAGCAAGAAGACAGGAGAATTAAACATATTGATTTAATGATTCCTCTTGTTCATCAATAGACAACATTCCATTCATTATTTAGAGACATTCAGATCTATACTGTTCAGAGATACAAATAATGTTCAGCTATATATTTTTTTCACTGATCTTTCTTTATATTTATGCAATCTTGAGTTATAGAATCTTCATCAGTGTGGTTATAGGAAGGACTGTAGAGCTCTCTAACATTTGGAGTGAAGACAGTGGCTCCCAAAGTAGACACGACAGGTACTTGCAGCCTCCCAGCAGAGTTTCCAGCTCAAGTTAGCTACATGACTTATTTGTATTTAATGTACATATGGAATCATCGGGAGAAAGATGAGGTTTTATAGTCCCATGAAGAGTGACCCTCTCAGAAACTCACAGGGGCTCTTCTGCCCTGTCCTATAGGGTCGCTATGAATCGGCATCGACTCGCTGGCAGTTGATGTAACATAAAAACCTTGGCAGATACAAGGGTCTGGGCTGAAGTGTCCATCCCTGCCTCCCACCCATTGCTGCTCTCAAGTCTACTTGGCATGGGTCCTCAGAAAGTGAGGAGCTATCTGTCTCTGAAAATCCCTGCAAAAGAAGCCCTACAATATTTGAGTGCCCTCCAAGATTCCTTCCCACCCAATGAGAAGATAGAGAAGACCACCCCACCCCCACCCCCCAAAAAAGCAGATAAAGGACTTGAGAGGAAAGAAGACAAAGAGTCTTAAAAGCTCAGGAAAGATAATCAACCGCCTACCCGGGGGAAGCCCTTAATCATATTTAATCTACTAATAGGTAACTAAGGAGCCTGAATGGCACAGTGGTTATGGGTCAGTTCAACCCCATCCTAGAGGGTCACTCGGAGTCAAATTGTATTTGCTGTATTGACTCAACTGCAAGGGGTATGGTGATCGGGAACTACATGTGATTTTCAACTCTCTCTATTAGGGACAAAATCTATCAGGATATTGAGTTACCAAACTAAAGTTGAGAGAGTAGTCCACAAACCTGCCCTCACTGCTGACACCAATTGCAAACAGTGATGTCCCCAAAGCCACTCTTAGTTATGATGATATGCAAAAATGACTCACAGAACTCACTGAGAACTGTTATGCTCATAATTACCGCTTGTGATAGTTAAAGGCTCCTGATTAAATTCGACCAGAGGAAGAAACAATAAAGCAGAGTCCAGGGGAGTTCCAAACATGAAGCATCCAGTTGTCCTTTCCTTGTGGCATCAGGACAGCCTCATCGCCCGGAGTTGATGTTTGCCAATACACACAGAACATTTCCAATTAGGGAAGGCCATCTGAGACTTGATCTCCAGAGTTGTTTGATTTTTATTAAGATTTCTTCACATAGAAAATGTTGGCGTACTGCAATGTAGTGGAAACTTACATAGTGGAATGTCTTTTCTTTTTTATCTGGTTAGCCCAGCTAAATAGTTTATCAATTTTACTGCCTGTGTTAGTCTGGGTTGACTAGAGAAATAAATCCAGGGAGGCTCATATGTGTATAAAAAAGAGCTTTATATACCAGAGCAATTGAACATTGAGCAAACAGCCCAGCCCAGTCCAGATCAAGTCCATAAATCCAATATTAGCCCATATGTCCAATACCAGTCTATAAAACCCTCTTCAGACTCACGAAACACGTGCAATGATGCCAAATGCAGAAAGATCACAGGCCAGTGGGTTGGAAGTCTTGTGGATCCAATGGAAACATTGGAAGCACCTCAGTGCTGGCAGGGGTCTCCCTGTGTTTCTTTCAGCTCCAAAACTCTGCTTCAGGGTAGCTTCCTGTGGCTTCTCCTCAGAAATGTCTCACAGGGAGTGAGCCTTGTCAGTAGGGAGTCTCCAAGGGAGTGAGATGAGAGAGAGTGTGTGTGTCTCCCACCTCTAAGGAGGAAATACTGGAGTTCAGAATCCTCAGAAGGCCATGCCCCCACAGAGGCCTCATTGTCTGTGACCTGATTGACAGGTAAACTCCACCCCTTCACTGGTAATCCTCTCAAATTGATATAACTACCACACTGACCTTTTCAAATAACCAACTTTTATTTTGCTTTCTTTTTCTGTTAGCTTCCTGTTTTCATTTTCATTGACGGCTGCTCTTAAATTTTTATTATTTCTCTTGTGACATTAATTGCTATCCCAAAATGTACCAGCACACTTCCTACTTCTTCCCCATGTTTAACATCGCCATTCATTGTCCTTCTTTACTATCCCTTCCTCCTTCTGAGCTTTATCCCTGGGCAAATGCTGTCCTTCGACTCACCTATGGTTGATTGTTTTAAGGTGTGTATACCTCCTTGGTGCTACTGTCCACCTTATAGGCCTGTCTATTATTTGTCTGGAAGTTGAATCATGGAGTGAGTTCAGTTTTCAACATAAAGAGTTTCTAAGGGGAATCGTCTCAGGGGCTCCACCAGTCTCTATCAGACCAGAAAGCTTGGCCTTTTTATTTGTTTGAGTTTTATTCCATATATTTCTCCCACTCTATCTAGGACCACCTATTGTAATCCCTCTCAGAGATAATAGCAGTGGTAACCAGGCACCCTCTAGTTCTTTTGATCTCAGGGTCATAAAGGCCGAGGCTCGCCAAATGGGCTATTCATATTTTGCTCTTCTTTTTCAAGTTTCCTAAGGTACAAACTTATTCAGTTTAACTTACTCTTCTTTTCTATTATATGCAGTCAGTGTTCTAAGTTTCCCAAACTAAAGGAGCCGGGCAAGTTGAAAGATACCTGTATTTATAGACTGGAAGATTTAATATTGTTAAGATAGTGAAACTTCTCAAATGCATATGCAGATTCAAGGTAACTTACAAAGAAAATTGAATGCCTCTTTTTTCTATAATACAGATAAGCTGAAACTAAAATTTATGGAAATTTAACAAACATAGAATAATCAAAACAATCTTGCAATCATGAACAAAGTTCACACTGCTCAATTTTAAAACTTAATAAAAGCAACATTACTCAAACGGGGTGTACTGGCATGAAGATAAACATATAAACCCAATATAATTAAAAGTCTGAAAATAAACCCATACAATTCAAGTTAATTGACTTTTTTCACAAGGTGCTAATATCATCCAATAGGAAAAGAATAGTCTTCTCAAAAAAGGGTTCAGGGACAATAGATATCTACAGGCAAAAGACTGCATCTGAGCCACTAATTTACATCATATACAAAAATTAACTCAAAATAGATCAAAGACATAGCTGTAAGAGTTAAAATCATAAAACTCTTTTTTTTAATCATTTTATTAGGGGCTCATACAACTCTTATCACAATCCATACATATATCAATTGTGTAAAGAGCATCTGTACATTCATTGCCCTCTTCA